GATAAAATAGATAATATAATATTTATTTATAATATAAAATAATAATGATTACAAGAAGAAGAAAAATAATAATTAAACGAAATATAAAGTTATTCGAACTGTAACTTCTGTTCTCAGATCGAAAATTGTCAAACTCCTCCAAAATTTGTCTTTCAAAATTAATATGTAGGTCCCGCAATTCGCCTAAAGTCTCCCTAATTACCAATCCTGAAGGACCTGCTTGAAATTGCTCCAAATTTTCTTCTAAATTCTCATCTGTTGTTAACACCAAATTGGGAGAAGACCTCGCCCGATCCTGTGCGTATTTGGTAAAAGAACCCCGAGACGATATAACAAAAAGACCAAACACCCCCTCAGAATTGTATCTAAAGGGAAAGTTAATAAATAAATATGAAATAAAGTAGCTAAGAAGAGAAGATAATATTTAATATATATATATACCTGCTCAATACTCCTTCGAGTTCTCTTATTTGACTTTCTCGTATTGGGGCTACTTGATCTTTACACTGCACCACCATATAGAATCCGCAATAAGATCCATAGATATCGACGCCTCGATCACCTACCCCGGCCCTAATAAGCAAAGAAAATTTTATCAGTAAAAATTGTTGGCTCATATATCCTATTCACCTAGTCCCTATACGACGGAATAAAGAAGGACGTTCACACTCGTCATACAAAGTATGCCCCCAGTGTGGCCACGATGCGCTTCCAGTTCTTTATGGCATATAAGAAGTAGGCAGCGTAACTTCAGATATATAAAACAATAATCAACCGAGTAAGAGAATAAATCAATCTTACGGAGTTATTTGTACATCAGCATTTGTTGCAAGTAAAAGATTTAATACACGAAATGTGAAACGGTTTCCTACTGCAGTAGTTGAGTTTGGATTTGACATGATTAGTATGGTGCAGTTTTGAATGGAATTGTAATATATACAATAAGGAAATAGTTATAGTACTTAACGCAGTTCGGCTACTTTTTAAATAAAAAGATTAACGCGTGAAAAAAATAAACAACCGGATTATTCACCGAAATAAACATAATCGAAAAGAGTAATCGACTACCGATGCATCCATGGAGATAATAACGAAAATTCATATGACAAGATTTCCGTTAAGCCAATTAAAGGAAAATTGCATGACCAGATTGATAGACGATAAAAATCTTATTATGGAACAGTTAACGCTAACTAAATATATCTGGCTTTGAGCACATAATGTGAGAAGACGGAGAAAGGTTTTAGCTCATATTGAAAAAAGATTCGAGGATTTACCACTTGCACCAATGATTACAGTTGATTAAATAACTTGTGTAATTTGATATTTCCGCTAAAATTATTAACCTATCATGTGATATGTGTTATAGAATGAATTCGAATGTAATAAAATCTACATGCATCATTTGATCATGCGATACACTGATTACCAAATTTAATTAGTCCCCCTTACACCTTGCATATCTATGTGAAAAATATCTCAAAAGTGAATACTGTATATAACATTGCTTTTTTTACTTTTATTAGCTTTACTGCTCCACTATTTATATTTATCACAAAACTAATCTGATATGTTGTACTTTTTACAAATAGGGATATCGATAACCTGGTTTGAAT